TTATATATTTGCAGGCAGTGCAAGAAGTCATGTGGACGAAACAGGAGAAGCATAAGGACCAAGTCCATTTTTTCCCATTCCCATGCAAGCCTTTTTAGTTGGATGAAGTATATTCACAGGCAAGTTTATATTGTCTATAATCTCTAGTGCCATTTCCTCCATAACTGTCTGTCTGCACATTAAATTTTTAATTCTGTCCTTTTACTGCAATATTGCATTGCATTGTGTTTAGATTTTTACAGGGTCTCTATATGCGACAGGTGGATATGATGCTAGATGACATCTCAAATAGTAGTGCGACCCTGTCCAAGATGTCCATGAAATTGCGAAGTGTATGTGTGAGAAGTATGCGGAGGCTCAGGAAAAAAAGAGGACAAAAAGTTGGTGGGCTCAACATATGTGTACACATTGATGAAAGCAAGTTTCGCCACAGACAAAAAGTAAGCCATGAATTCAGAAAACATAAATATTCTCTTCAAATGTGGATGTGTACACTGTAAAATAATCATAATTTTACTAAAAAAAATTGTACTCTGTAAAATTATCTCTAAATTACTTAAACAACTACTTGGCTGTTCATTTAGGCATTATGACATTAATAACAAATTACAGTAATTCACATTTTTTATACAGAAAATGTACTATATTTTTATACAGTACTTTTTCTGTTTTCTTAAATTACATACAAATGTATGTAAAATTACAAAAATAATCTGTAATTAATACAATAACAAAAACATTAGATGATAAAACAGCCAAATGACTGGCAGCAACAGTTGCCAAACAAAAACCATAAACAAAACTAACATTGTTTATCTACAGGCATTTCCTGAATTATTATGATCAAACATCTTCACTGTAAAAATAAATAAATTAATAAATAGAACAATTTAAAATAATAATAAAATGTCACATGACTGGCAGCAACAGAACAATAAACACTTACAGATCTCTCTAGATCCCAGCATCTTCACTCAGTTCAATCCCATCTGACTTTATTGCTTTCACACAAAACTTCGTATTAAGAATTAACAGAGGTTCAGTTTACTGGTTTAATTAGGTTTAGTTGGTCTCTTGACCCTTGACTTTTTAACATCTGTTTTTTCTCCGGCTGCTGTAACTGTGTTTCTGAAGCACATTTGTTATAGCAAAAATTGCAAGAGAGAAAATCTGATCAGATGAAGTTTTACTTATTGATGATGATTCAATGATTATATAGTGGCATGATTCACTGATCTCATCCAGAGTCTTTCTGAGAGCGTTAGCTGTTAGTTTTGCATTATTTACAGTAATCTTGTGATGTTATGAATTATGACAGTCAGATATTGTTTTGTTTTTTTCATTCATTATATAGAAATTGGTTTGAGCTGCCTTTTTGACTCACAAACATCAAGAATCAGCGCATGAATCTCAAACAATGGTGACATTAAACAACAAGAGTTGATTTGTTTATCTGAATATTTTGTCGACTGTCACCAATGTTGTGGTTTATACGCAGACTCTTGATGTCTGTGAGTCTACATGATCCTGTCCAAATAATTTCTGCACTTAAAAACGGTCAAAATCTTCAATAAAAAACTAATTTCACCTGATCTGAATTCTTCTCTCAATTTTTGCTGTAACATATATGCTGTAGAAACACACAGTTACAGCCGTCAGAGAAGATCTAGTGCTAAAAAGCAAAGAGTCAAGAGCCTAACTAAAGCAAACACTTATCTCCACAATGGTGTCTTCAAACTTTATTATTTTCAATTAACATCAACATCTAAATCTCAGTTAATTCTCAATAATACATTTTGTATGAAAGCAATAAAGTCAGACTGGTTTGTTAGAAGTGAAGATGCTGAGATCTAGAGAGATCTGTTAGTGTTTCATGTTCTGTTTGGATTGAAAGGATTTCTGTTGTCTTTTGTCATGTGCGTTACCATTGTGCTGAAGAGTAGAATCTGTGCTTCAGTCCAGGACAGGCCTAAGAAACAGTGGTGTTATACTGCGTGTTGCATAATATAAAGACAGTAACTATATAATTGCTGATGCAGTGATAGTTTCTTTAGCTCACACGTGTGTGCTGTTGCTAGCTAATGGTTAACTGCAAAATATTTACAACTTACAGAGAATGTTTCACAATAATAATTCAAGAAGTTCTTGTAAAGTAGCAATACTTTTTGTGAAACATTTAAGAAAAAATAGGATATTTTAGCTTAATCTTACAGTTTTTGTTTGGCAGCAGCTTCTACCAGTCATTGACGGGTTTTTTTAACGATGTTTAACCATTATTTCCATTAATGGTAAATGTTTGACAGCCTGTGCTGCCATGCATTTCACCATTTAAAAAAAAAAAAATTTTTAACAGTGTAGACAAGACACAATATTGTTATATTGTTCTAATAAAAAAAATTTGAGTTCTTGTAAATCCTTTTTGTAAGACTAACAACATTTGGATTATCAGGAGGCCTGTCAGTTGACCTAAAATATTTATTTTGAGGCTACTGCTTTTGACTTTTAGAAAATAAGAGTGTTTGAAATAAATTTCATTTATTCTTTTTTCAGTATGCCAGAGGGCGTTTTGGAGGTGCAAGGAGAAGGAAAAGCTGGGTATTCGGAATGGTTGAGATTTTGCCCTCCCGAAAACCAGTATTGCGTTTGGTGGACAAAAGGGACAAGACAACCCTTTTACCAATCATAGAAAAACATGTAAAAAGAGGCAGCATCATTCATAGTGATGAGTGGCGTGCATACTCAGCTCTTCCAGAGAGAGGATACCAACACCAGACAGTGAACCATAGCATTAATTTTGTTAATCCATCGACAGGGGTACATACACAGAACATTGAAAGGGCATGGGCAAACTTCAAAAGGGAAGTGTGGAGGTTGCGTGCAAACCGGTCAGAGAAGGCTCTCAAAAACCATCTAATATATATAGAATGGACTTACTGGTTAGGCAGGATATACAGACAGGGGATTCTTGGAAGGCTTTTGCATGACATCAGTCAGTTCTATCACTGAATCAATTATTTTTATTTATTTATATTCGTTTCTAACCTTGTTGTGTTAACTTGGCCATACAAAATGTCCATG